ATATATATATATATATATATATATATACATATATATATACATATATATATACATATATATACATATATATATTATGTATATATTGTTTGTGTTGTTTTTTTTGTGCGTGTCAACTTGTATCGTGCGTGTGTAGCAACTCCAATAAGAGCAGCAGTAGCAGACGCAGCAGCAGCAACGGAAACAGCAGCAACAGCAACAACAACAGCAACAGCAGCAGCAGCAAATAAAGAAGGAAATATAAATTCTTACCACTGGGAGGCTTCATCGGTCATCATTCGTGTGCCATCGGGGGCAATACCAGTCCTAAAGAAAAATAAATAAAAAAAAATAAATATAATGCATGCATGCATACGTGCATGCATGTATTATATATATATGTATTCTATGCATGCATGCATGCATGAACGAAGAGAAAGAAGCACAACAGAATAAATAAAAGAACAAACAAACAAATAAACAAAGAAGCAATCTTGCCTTGTATATATGTATAAAGTATATTGAGGGGAAGAGGAAGAAAGGGAGAAGAAGAATAAATATATTAAATAATATTTTCTTACTTAAGCCATGTCCTCATTTCTCTAACAACATCTTCTGTTGATTTAACTGTTCCTTCTACAACATTTGTACCCGCATACTTAACACTACTAGCAGGAAAATTAACATCTGATGTTTTTATTGACTTCATTGTTGCTTCTGTTGCCAACTTTGCTGCATAAATATACACGAAAAATAACACACTTTATTATTATTAAAAAAAAGAAAAAGAATACTCTATAGTTATATAGTTGAAAAATCTGCTTTCCCTTTCGTGTTGCACAACACAGCCGCCATGTTGAATAGGAACTCAGGAGGCGTTGTGGAGGTAATAAATGGCTTAATTATCTTAAATATAATGTTGAATTCTTTAATAAACTCATTAAATTGAATTACCCACCCTTGTCGGGCTTTTCAGCGGCCCATTCTGCCTGGGGCTTCATCTTGCAATAGGCGGATGATTATAACGAGGGAAAGCACAGCGATCGGAGGGGAAAAATGAAGTAAAAGTGAATAAAATATCTGCAAAAGGAAGTAAATCCGTGAAATGAATTAAAAACGTATTTCGTGATGTTGATGTGCCTCCTCCTTCTCCTGTCACAGGCACTAAACCACCCACGGGCTGCTAGACCGCCGAAGCGCTCACAAGGACCACTGCGGCGCGCCGGTGGGGGGGAAACAATGGGAAAAAAGAATATTTTAATTCCTTTTCACCGTACAAATTGAATTTAAGTTTAAAATATTCAAAATAAAACAAAAATTATTCAAATATTCCCCTATTTTACTAGTGTGCATAAAAACAACGGTTCTCGATGACCGCGCTCCCGCTGCCGATACACCGCAGCAAGCTGCATGGAAAGGCGAAGATATTTCAAAGCATCAAATGCACAGAAAAACAATAATTAATAAATTAAAGTAAATGAAATACTCTTACAGCCAATTTATTTGCACTTTCTCCCGTTGTTACGCTCTCAACCCGGAGGCGCACGCTGGAGAAGGCAAAGGAGCTAGCCCAGCAAGAACAGAGGAAAGTCCTCCATTTACTACAATATTATGAATTGTAATTGATAGAAAATTTATTTAAAACTTTAGTCATCCAATAAAATCAGATATATTCGCTTATGATGCTGAATAGGAAGAAAGCGGCTGGCTGTATCGACGGCTGCATTCCTCCTGAATAGAAAGACTGCGAGCCTATTAAAGTACATCTATAAGCAGCAACAGAGTACAAATATTTAAATTAAACGAAATAAAATGCTTCTTAGTCCTCCACGCATCAAGAGGCCTTAGGGTTAGGCGACAGAGTGGGTGTATGTATTGGCATATATATACAGCTACGCAACAACCCCACCTTCTAACACACAAATACCCCATTTTTTGCATGCAAAGAAAACGTAGCCAAGTGCTGCCTACAGTAAGCTTGACTAAAAGGAAAAGAAGAATAATCCTGTAGAGCTCTCTATCAGCCCCTTGCTAAACCCTAAACCCTAAACCCTCATTATTGAGCCAAGGGAGACGAGTATAAGGGGTAGGGTCTTAATAACAACATTCTAACCCTAAACCCTCAACATGTATAATTGTTTAGGGTTTAGGGTTTATGTAGTGTTAGTAAGATCTAAACAAATTAAAATAAATGCAAATAGAGCGAAAAAAGACGGAAAAATGTACAAAAAGAACTACCTAAATTGAATAGTAAGCGAATAAATAGATCTAATTACCTAAAAGGGAGGAAGAAACAAGAAAAAGGAATAAATGCTTTTTTCCTCATTATTTTACTACTAAGGCATTTATTATTTTCCTCTATAAAGGTAGAAGATGTAACAAAAAGAACAATAAAATAATAAACTCTCTTTTATCCTCTCTATTTAACTAACTAAATAATATATAAATAGTACATAAGTAATAAATAAATTAAAAAAAAAAAGAATAAATAGTTTTTTTTTTTTTGTTTCTTCAAGAGAGAAGAAAGTACTAAATAACGCCGCCCTTTTTTGCATGCAATGCAGCGGCAAAGAAATACCTTATTTTTGCATTAAAACAAATTTATAAAATAAAAAAAAATAAATAAAATAAATAAAATAAGTAATAATTAACTAAATTGTATATAAAATATTTATTTATTGATAAGCAAGACGCATGCAAGCAAAAGAAACTAAACAAATAATTGTGCATGCACACACACCTGGACAAGTAGATATTGCACATAAAAATACCTAAAAAAAGGAGAACATCAAACCCTAAACCCTAAACCCTAAACCCTAAACCCTAATTACAGATAGTGAAGCTATTAACCTGTTACCTGCAAAGCTACTGTCTATAAGTGTTTATTTAAGTGTATACAGTGCACAATAAGACAAAAAAAAGAATATTAATTTAAATAAATATACACAACATAAATATAAATACTAAATTAAATTAAATTAAATTAAATTAAATTAATTAAATTAACTAAATTATATTAAATTAAATTAAATTAAATAAATAAAATTAAATAAACAACTTCCTTAGCCTCCACCCCCTACATCAACAAGCGCGACGATTGCAGCTGCAAAAGAAACGCACAAGTCAGAATTTTTCTTCTTATTTTTTCTTTTTTTTTTTTTTTAATAAATAAAAAAGAAAAATATAAATAAATAAATAAATAAATAATAAATTAATGGAAAAAAACACACAAACACACACATTTGTCGTCAACATTAGACGACAGTCTATGCAGCACTTCATACCTAGAGTATGCCCAATGAGAAGCACAAGCAGCAGCAGCAGCAGCAGCAGCAGCAGCAGTTGTAGTTGGTGATGCTTCAATTGCTGCAATTGCTGCTGCTGCTGCTGCTCTTGTTGTTCTATGAGCCCTCGCCACTGTCTGTTCGTTCTTTGCTGTATATATCTGCGCGACACCCCGCAAGTGCTTCGCATGCATATAATTAATATAAATCTAAATAAATAAATAAATAAATAAAAATATAAAAGAAAAGAAAAGAAAGGAAAACGTCCTCCCTACACTGCAAGAACAGCAAACAAAATTCAACAAAAAAAAGCCTCCTCTCAACAACCACCTAATAAACCCTAAACCCTAAACCCTAAACCCTAAACAATGCCGTCTCCTTAAACCTCAGCTGTACCACCATTGATCCGGTAGAAACAAACAATATATAAATAATAAATAATATAATTTCCTCCGCATTCAAAGTAACGTTGCATGCATGCACTATAAAGGTAAACAAAATAGAAAAAAGAAAAAAAATACATAAAATACAAAAAAAGAAAAAAAAAACAACCGTCTCGTCGTATCCCTTTCGGTTAATAGGCGACTTATTATAGTCGTCTTTTTATTTCTTCTAATTTCTGCTTATTTTCTTATTCTTATTTAATTCGTTTCCCTCATGATAAATATATATCAATAGTCACGTCATAATTATTTAATTGTTTCCTTAGATGTAACGAGAAACCTTTTATGCCTATTATTTCTTCATATTATTATATTATATAAACTAGCCTGCCTATCATTCTCCCTAACTGTCTGCCTAGTGATGAATTAATTATATGTTGACGGTACACACTAGTATCACTCTGTCTGTTTATATTTGTTGTTTTTCTTGCGTGCGCCAATTACTCAAGAAGAACGCTTTCCGATACACTCAAAGATGAACGATGGATGAAACGACTTGGGCGAGAGGGGGCAGAAAAACAAAAAGAATTCAATGCGTCATTGAGGACACCTGCGGACAGAACACAAAAATAATCATAAATAAAACAATAAACCAATATACATTAAGGAAAAAACACGAAAAATACACAATAAAAAGAAGAAAAGGCAAAACTTGCAAAAGGTGAATAAATGAGCTGAACGTACACCTGAAATATCCCTGAGTTTCCGCAAACATGAACAGCTAGGAAAGCAGCAAAAAAAGAAGGTAATCTGTATGATCTTTATGATTTTCATGAATAAAAAAGCATGTTTAATTTATTTATGAAGGAAAAACAAGAAAAGGGGTTAATTTATTAAATTGTGTTTTCGTGTTTTTCTGCATATGCGTGCATAGGAGTCCAACTAACCTGCAAATGCGGCCTCGACGTGTCTTCTGTTAGTCAGCCGCCCTCTCTGCTGACGACAAGAAATAAATAAACATTTACAAAAGAAAGGTAAGAAAAGAGTTCATCAACAAACATATATATAAAGAGATAGCATGGTGGTGGCTAAGACAGCAAGTCATAGAGAACACATATAGAGAAGCAGAAAAGGAAGAAAAGACTCAAAAAAACCAACACAAGAAAATATTCGTAAGCTGTTGTACACAAGAAACGCTTTGTTACCGATAGCGCCTCTGTTCCTGAGTGCACATAAGTGTGTTCCCCGTTTCCTCTGTTAATAGATATACAAATATACATAAATATAAATCACGTAAATATATATAAAAATAAAAGTAAATATATAAAAAAGCCTTATAAGTGTATAATATTTGTGCGTTTTAGCGTAGCGAAGAAAATAAATGATGAAACAGACAAAGAAGTACGTTTTTTGTGACTTTGTTTGGTTTCGTTAGAAAGACAAGCAGGCGCAGCAGCAGCAGAAGCAGCAGCAGCACAAGGAGCAGCAGGATTTCTGCTTCTTGCTGCTACAAATAACGCACTACTACCATCCGCTCCTCCCTTTACTTACGTAGCAGATATCCACAGAAAGAAGAGAAAGAAGGGGCAGCTACCTCCAGCAGAGTATAGGGCCTTAGCTGCTGCTCTCCTCCTTCCTCCCCCCTCCTACTATTGAGGTCGACAGCAGCAGCAGCAGCAGCGACAGCAGCGACAGCAGCGGCAGCAGCGGCTTCTACTGCCATCGAGGTATCCCCACAACGACCCACAGAGGGGGGGTAGGTGGTGGTAACAGCAACACACCCTAGCACAAACAACCACGCACTAGGTAGGCATAGATATATACATATATTATATAGGGCTCAAACCCTAAACCCTAAACCCTAAACCCTAAACCCTAGATTGAAGGCGTCGCTGCTGCTAAATTGGCAGCAAAAGACAAGCCCTTTCATTGTTGTTTTTAAACAAAGAAGGTGTATGCATGCATGTGCATGTGTATATACGTATGTATATATATATATGTATGCATATATAAATATATGTATATATATATGTATGTATATGATGGATATATGTGTATGAATATGTATATGTTGTATGTATGGATATGTGTGTGTTTGTTTTTTGCATGCATGCAGTTGCAGCAGCCATGCATATGCATATGCACGATAGCAGCAGCAGCAGCAGCAACAGCAACAACAAAAAAAAAAAAGAAAAAAAGATAGAAAACATACACAAGACCCTCATCATGATTTCTTCTTCTTGCCTTCTTCGTTAGTTAGCGCAAAAAAAAGGAAGGATGACGAGACAGCCGATGACTATAATTGCTGAACAGCAAAAAGGAACACAAAAAAGCAGCAGCATTATGCTTCTGCTGCTCCTCTTCTTCTTGCGATCAATGTGCTCTTCCTGCTGTTCCTGCTGATGCTGATGCTGCTGTTGCTGCTGCTGCTGTTGCTGTTGCTGCTGCTGATGATGATGATGGCTTGACTGGAGTAGTAGAAGGAAAGAAGGGGATGAAAGGAATGGCCTCCTCCTCCTTCTTCTTCTTCTCCTTCTTCGCCAGCTGTCCTCCTCCCTCATTGTTTTTTGCTTCTCCTCTCTTCTCGCTGTGTTATCTCCCTCCCTCCTCCATCTCCTTGTCCTTCTTGCTGCTAATAGTAGCGGCTACAGTTGCTGCAGTTGCTGCAGTTGCTGTTGCTGCTGCTGCTGTTATTGCTGTAGCTGTTGCACATATAAATATAATACCAGCCTCAGCATAATCCATCAATAACCTTTCTCTATAGAGAAGAATAAGAAGAATAAGAAGAATAAGAATAAGAATAATAAGAAAAAGAATAAGATTAAGATTTTTTTGCTGCAGTAGAACTATTACCCGAGGAAGAAGAAGATCCTCCTCCTCCTCCTCCTCCCTCAACAAAGTGCATACTTTCCTTAACAAAAGGATGCTGTAATGCCTCATCAGGTGTTAATCTTTTTTGTGGATCTAATGTCAAACATTTCTCCAATAAATCACCAAATTGACGCATCTTACGACGTAAAAAATTTATCTTTGCTGGTGTACCTATAGACACAGACACATAATAATATATAATATATACATATATATACAATATAAATATATATATACATATACAGCATATATAAATATATATACATATATATATATATACATAATAGAACTGTTGATGGTGCTGTTGAATGGAGGAAAGACAGAGAGAAGAACATCCTCATACAAGAGAACAGCAAAACAACCCCACCACGAGAACAACAACAACAACAAGAACAAGAACAAACAAGAAAAAGAAAGAAGAAGAGGATCATGAATAAGAAGAGAATAAGGATAAGTAATCATAATGAATTACGTACCTGTAAGACCTGATTGTTTATCTAATAAAGATTCCGTTATATTCTTAGTAGGTCTTAGATCATGAATAATACGATGTATATCTTGTTTAGAAAAAGAATCTTTATCTCTATAAATAAAATCAAAATCGGAATTAAAATGATTTGATGAGAATTGACCTGAACGAATTAATTTATTTGGTAATTTACCTTTATACTCCATTATACAACGTAACATATCATTATTTGTACGACCCTGTATACATAATATACATATATACATATATACATATATACATATATACATATATACATATATACATATATATATATATATATATATATATATATATATATATATATATATATATATATATATATAT